AATGTAAATGAAAGCAGTGAAAAAATATATATATATATACACATATCTATACACAGTTTATAGCTTACCTCCAAAATTAAATCCTGACATTCTGCTTGCTTAAAGCGTAATAACTTCGTATAGCATACATTATACGAAGTTATACGATACCTCCAAAATTAAATCCTGACATTCTGCTTGCTTAAAGCGTAATAACTTCGTATAGCATACATTATACGAAGTTATACGATACCTCCAAAATTAAATCCTGACATTCTGCTTGCTTAAAGTTTAACTTGAAACACTGAAAAAGAAAGGTAATGTTTTATATATATATATATATTTTTTCACTGCTTTCATTTACATTATGCTGAATTAGTTGTACTACTTTTGGATGTCAAAGTATACTTATGAAAAAAATCCACACTTAACTCAAACTATTATTTATCAGTTTTGACAACAGAATGGATGAACTATATAAAGGATGTCATAGGAACCTTTTCATTCAAATTGAATATAAAATATGGTCACAAGAAAGATGTAGAACTGTGCTCACATTGGGACTGGATATTAACATCCACTGCAATAATACACAACCTATGATAACTGCAACCAAAATCCTGCAACTTCCACTTCTGATTCTTATGATTCTAAGTTCACCAAAATGATGGATACCAAAATTGCAGCAACTTAAGTACTGCAACTGATCAAAGACAAGTGTTAAAAACATTCACTAATTCACATTTTAAGTACTTGTAGAATCTCTTGCAAGTAATTATCTTTAAGGCTCATCATAATCTCATGGAAAAATTATGTTAGTTTCAGGGTATATAGGTCTACATTGGCAAACCTATCAAGAAGTAAAACTGGTAAAGAATTTAAACTTTTAAACCAATTTCAACCTTGTACAGTAGTTGGATATGGAATCTGCATACTATAGACCAGTTTCTTAAAATTTCATAGTGTGTGACCCAAATCTGGAAGAGGGCGTTTTGTCCTTTTAGAGAATTAGTCAAATATGTAATTATTTGAAATGGCAGTGTATATCATTTCAGAATCCAATATAGCAGTCTTGTTCATTTTACTTTAGGCAATCTTGTTCTGGACATTTGATCGTAAAGGTTGCCCTCATTACTCATAGCAGTGCAGCAAATATGACTAGATAGCGTAGTGGCAATATAGTTTCAGTGATTTTGTATTCCTGGTATCAGCATCGGTTGCACATATTAGATGCCATTGTGACCACAGGATAATTGAACTTATTCATTTATTGAAAAATTTCTGCTGCATCTACATCTTGGGTCATAATTGGCATTTATAAAATATAGCAATTGGCCAAGGCTTGGGGGCCCCAGGTAAGGAAAGGTCATACAGCATTATGACAAAGTATTACAAAGGCAAAAACATGAATTTACAATTAGGACAAATTACGTTAGATAATGGCTGTAGGTTAGTATTGCAGTGAAAACGTAAAGATGGAATAGCAAATGGAGTACGAAGGGAGGGGGGGGGGAAGTGAAGAAAACAATTGTTCTTTCTTCTTATCCAACAGATATAACCACACCAGTTTCATGGAAAGCAAGATATATCAATGGCCCTCCACAAATTATGATTTTTTTTTTAATGCTCCTCAACCACACACTTGCATTTATAATATGATTATACTATCTACATATCCATATATAATTTTCAGTAAATTTAAAACGTTTCTGAAATTTCACCCCAGAAAGAGTCAGAAACTGTACTTTCTTTCTCATTATCGTTGAAACTGTATACTGGCTACTTGAATCCTTCAAAAATTGGCTGAATCAAACTGATTGTGACTTCTTATGATGGGTGTGGCTACAGATACCTTAACAAAAAGCAAGCTTTCCAGTGTGATAAATCAAGATAAGCTAAATATGCCCATGAAAGAGGGAGTCTAAGTGTTGGTGCTTGGTCGTGTGAAACTGAAACTGGTAATTTTTCTAACAGTTCCACCTAACGGAATGTGATGATTTTGGCATCGTTGGATTCATAATATACACAGTATGTCACTATATTGTATAATGCAGGGGACTTTGCCCCCTACAATAGACAACATTGTGATTGATTGTGTGTATTACTCACATTTTACCCCACAAATTCCCTGGCATCTTTCTTGCCCTCCCCTACTTTCAGGGCCAAGCTTGTCACTACAGAATCTACATATTTGGGTACTTTTTCCAGATAGTTCTACCAAATGGATGAAGACGATATTGGCATTGTTGGATTCCTCTCACCATCTACATTGCAAATATAGAGGGGGAGGGGGGGGAGTGTGTCGGACAGACTTGGAAGTCGTACGGTCTCTCTTACTGTGAAATCTGGACAGGGGTTTGTGGGCAGCAGCACCCCCATGGGGAAGGAGCGGGGTCCAATATAGTGACTGGTACTGTGTAAATAATTCATATTTTACCTCACAATTTCCTTAGTACTTTTCATACTGTCCCCTGCAATCAGGGCCAAGAATGTGCGGGTTAGGGTGATTTCCATGCAATCATTTCTATATAATTTGGAGACTCAAGAGTAAGAGGATTCTAGCAATACCAGAATTATCACGATCCATTAGGTGGAACTATTAGGAAAAATTGCCTTGAAACTACTACGAAAGAAGCAGGATTAATCTTTATAGTATGGATGCACTAAGTTAGTGCAAACTGAATATGATATTCTTGTAGAAGACTAAAAGTTGCAGTCGTTGGTAAAAGAAACAGGGTTTATTATTCGATTATGACATTCAGGACTTCCCAGACAATA